ATTAAATAGAGAATCGTTTCCCCATTGCTTGTTTTTTGTCTGGTTTGTCAAAAATTAGATGGTTTCAGATGTGTGGCATTATTTCTTAGGCCTCTGTTCTGTTCTACTGGTCTCTATCTCTGTTTTGCTACCAGTACCATGTTGTTTTAATTACTGTAGCCTTGTAGTATAGTTTGAGGTCAAGTAGCATGATGCTTCCAGCTTTGTTCTTTTGCTTATGATTATCTTGGCTATGTGAGCTTGTTTTTTTTTTTTTTTTTTTTTTTGCTTTTAGGGGATAACACTGAATCTATAAATTACTTTGGGCAGTATGGCCATTTTTACAATAAAGAGTCTTCCTAACCATTAGCATGTACTATTTTTTCATCTGTTTGTGTCCTCTCTTATTTCATTGAGCAGTGGTTTGTAGTTCTCCTTGAAGAGGTCCTTCATATTTCTTGTTAGTTGTATTCCTAGGCATTTTATTCTCTTTGTAGCAATTGTGAATGGGCGTTCACTTGTGATTTGGCTCTCTGTTTGTCTATTATTGTGTATAGGAATGCTGGTGATTTTTGCACATTGATTTTGTGTCCTGAGGCTTTGCTGAAGTTGCATATCAACTTAAGGAGATTTTAGGCTGAGACAGTGGAGTTTTCTAAATATACAATCATGTCATCTGCAAACAGGGATAATTTGACTTCCTATCTTCCTGTTTCAATACCCTGTACTTCTTTCTCCAGCCTGATTGCCCTGGCCAGAACTTCCAATACTGTGTTGAATAGGAGTGGTGAGAGGGCATCCTTGTGTTGTGCTCGTTCTCAAACGGAATGCTTGCAGTTTTTGCCCATTCAGTATGATATTGGCTGTGGGTTTTTCATAAATAGCTCTTATTTTTTGGAGATACATTCCATCACTATCTAGTTTATTGAGATTTTTTAGCATAAAGGGCTGTTGAATTGTGTTGAAGAACTTCAACTCTTGAGATAATCATGTGGTTTTTGTCTTTGGTTCTGTTTATGTGATGGATTACCAGTTGTTGACTTGCGTATGTTGAACCTGCCTTGCATTTCAGGGATGAAGCCAACAAGATCATGATGGATAAACTTTTTGATGTACTGTTAGATTCAATTTGCCAGTATTTTATTAAGGATTTTAGCATCAGTGTTCACCAGGGATATTGGCCTGAAATTTTCTTTTTCAGTGGTTCTCTGCCAGGTTTTGGTATCAGGATGATGTTGGTCTCCTCTTTGTACCCTGGCAGAATTTGACTGTCAACCCATCTGATCCTGGACTTTTTTTGGTTGGTAGGTTATTAATTACTGCCTAAATTTCAGACCTTGTATTGGTCTCTTCAGGGATTTGTCTTCTTCCTGGTTTAGTCTTGGGAGAGTGTATTTGTCCAGAAATTTATCCATTTCTTCTACATTTTCTAGTTTATTTGCATAGATGTGTCTATAGCATTCTCTGATGGTAGTTTGTATTTCTGTGGGATCAGTGGTGATATCTCCTTAATCATTTTTTTATTGCATCTATTTGATTCCTCTCTCTTTTCTTCATTAGTCTGGCTAGTGGTAACTTTTTAAAACCAGCCCTGGATTGATTTTTTGAAGGGTTTTTTGTGTCTCAATCTCCTTCAGTTCTGCTTTTAGTTTGTCTTCTTCTGGCTTTTGAATATGTTTGTTCTTGTGTCTGTAGTTCTTTTAATTGTGACATTAGGGTGTCAATTTTAGATCTTTCCTCCTTTCTCTTGTGGGCATTTAGTGCTATACATTTTCCTCTACACACTGATGTCCCAGAGATTCTGGTACATTGTGTCTGGGTTCTCATTGTTTTCAAATAACATCTTTATTTCTGCCTTCATTTCATTATTTATCCAGTAGTAATTCAGAAGCTGGTTGTTCAGTTTCCATGTAGTTGTATGGTTTTGAGTGAGTTTCTTAATCCTGAGTCCTAATTTGATTTCACTGCAGTCTGAGAGGCAATGTTATGATTCCCATTTTTTTGCATCTGCTGAGGGGTGTTTACTTCCAATTATGTGGTGGATTTTAAAATAAGTGCTATGTGGTGCTAAGAAGAATGTATATTCTGTTGATTATGCATGGAGAGTTCTGTAGATGTCTGTTAGGTTCACCTGGTCCAGATCTGAGTTCAAGTCCTGCATATCCTTGTTAATTTTCTGTCTCATTGATCTAATATTGACAGTGGGGTGTTAAAGTCTCCCACTATTATTGTTTAGGAGTCTAAGTCTCTTTGTAGGTTATCTAAGAACTTGCTTTATGAATCTGAGTACTTCTGTATTGGGTGCACATATATTTAGGATAGATAGCTCTTCTTGTAGCATTGATCCCTTTACCATTATGTAATACCCTTCTTTCTCTCTTTTGATCTTTGTTACTTTAAAGTCTGTTCTATCAGAGACTAGGATTGCAACCTCTGCTTTTTTTTTTCTTTCCATTTGCTTGGTAAATCTTCCTCCAATCCTTTTTCTTCGAACCTGTGTGTGTCATTGTACATAAGATGGGTCTCCTGAATACAGCACATTAATGGGTCTTGAGTCTTTATCCAATTTGCCAGTCTGTGTATTTTAATTGACGCATTTAGCCCATTTACATTTAAGGTTCATTATTGTTATGTGGGAATTTGATCCTGCCATTATGATACCAGCTGGTTATTTTCCCTGTTAGTTGATGCAGTGTCTTCATAGTGTAGATGGTCTTTACAAGTGCTGTTTTCGCAGTGGCTGGCACCAATTTTTCCTTTCCATGTTTAGTGCTTCCTCAGGAGCTCTTGTAAGGCAGGTCTCATGGTGACAAAATCTCTCAGTAGTTTTTTGTCCCTAAAAGATTTTATTTCTCCTTTGCTTATGAAGCTTAGTTTGTCTGGCTATGAAATTCTGGGTTAAAAATTCTTTTCCTAAAGGATTTTAAAATTGGCACCCACCCTATTCTGGCTGGTAGGGTTTCTGCTGTGAGTCTGAAGGGCTTCCTTTTATGGGTAACCTTTCTCTCTGGCTGCCCTTAGCATTTTTTCCTTCATCTCAGCCCTGGTAAATATGGCTATTATGTGTCTTGGGGTTGCTGTTCTTGAGGAGTATCTTTGTGGTGTTCTCTGTATTTCCTGAATATGAAAGTTGGCTTGCCTTGCTGGGCTGGGGAATTTCTCCTGAATAATATCCTGAAGAGTGTTTGCCAACTTGGTTTCATTCTCCCCTTCACTTTCAGGTACGCTCATCAAATGTAGATTTGGTCTTTGCACGTAATCCCATATTTCTTGGAGACTTTGTTCATTTCTTTTTGCTCTTTTTTCTCTAATCTTATCTTCTCACTTTATTTCATTGAGTTGATCTTCAATCTCTGATATCCTTTCTTCTGCTTAATCGATTTGGCTATTGAAACTTGTGTATGCTTCATGAAGTCCTCGTACTGTGTTTTTCAGTTCCATCAGGTCAATTATGTTGTTCTCTAAACTGGTTATTCTAGTCAGCATTTTGTCTGAACTTTTTTCAAAGCTCTTAGCTTCCTTGCATTGGGTTAGAACATGGTCCTTTAGGTCGGAGTAGTTTGTTATTACCCACCTTCTGAAGCCTGCTTCTGTCAATTCATCAAACTTCCTTTCTGTCCAGTTTCATTCTCTTGCTGGCAAGAAGTTGTGATCCTTTGGAGGAGAAGAGGTGTTCTGGTTTTTGGAATTTTCAGCCTTTTTGTGCTGGTTTCTTCCCATCTTTATGAATTTATCTACCTTTGGTCTTTGAAGTCAGTGACCTTTGGATGGGTTCTCTGAATGGATGTCCTTTCTGTTGATGTCAAAACTATTTCTTTCTGTTTGTTTGTTAGGTTTTCTTCTAACAGTCAGGCCCCTCAGCTGCAGGTCTGCTGGAGTTTGTTTGAGGTCCAGTTTAGATCCTGCTTGCCTGGGAATCACCAGCAAGGGCTCACTGCACAACAGCAAAGATTACTGCCTGTTCCTTCCTCTGGTAACTTCATCCCAGAAGAGTACCTGCCAGATGCCAGCCAGAGCTCTCCTGTATGAGGTGTCTGCTGGCTGCTTCTGGGAAGTGTCTCCCAGTCAGGATACACAGAGGGCAGGGAGCCACTTGAGGAGGCAGTCTGTTCCTCATCAGTGCTCCAACACTGTGATGGGAGATCCACTGCTCTCTTCAGAGCTGCACAGCTGGGACATTTAATACTGCTAATGCTGTACCCACAACCACCCCTTTTCCCAGCTGCTCTGTCCCAGGAACATGTGGGCTTTATTTAGAAGTCCCTGATGGGCTGCTGCCTTTTTTCAGAGATACCCTGCCCAGTGAGGAGGGAGTCTAGTGACACAGTCTGCCTGCAGAAGCCTTGGTGAGCTTCCATGAGCTCTGTCCAGTTCAAACTTCCCAACTGTGATGTTAAAAATGCCTACTTGAGCCTCAGCAATGGTGGACGCTCCTCTCCCGACCTAGCTCAGAAGTCCCAGGTCAAACTCAGACTGCTGTGCTGCCTGTGAGAATTTCAAACCAGTGAATCTTAGTTTCCTGGTCTTCATCACAGGGGGACCTGCTGAGCCAGATCACTTGGCTCCCTGGCTTCAGCCCCCTTTCCTGGGGAGTGAACGGTTCTGTCTTGCTGGTGTTCCAGGGGCCACTAGGCTATGAAAACAAAAACTGCTGTGGCTAGCTCAGTGCCTTTCCAAACGGCTGCCCAGTTTTGTGCAGGAAACCCAGGGCCCTAGTGTTGTAGGCACTAGAGGGATTCTCCTGGTCTGTGGGTTGTGAAGACTGTGGGAAAAGCACAGTATCTGTGCCAGAGTGGAGGGGACAGTCCCTACTGGCTTCCCTTGGCTAGGAGAGGGAGTTCCCCAGCCCCTTGCGCTTCCAGATGAGGCAGCAACCCACCCTGTTTCAGCTTGCCCTCCTTGGGCTGCACTCATTTTCCAACCAGTCCCAATAAGATGAATCATGTACCTCAGTTGAAATGCAGAGATCACTTGCCTTCTGCATCAGTCTCGCTGGGAGCTGCACACCAGAGCTGTTCCTATTCGGCCATCTTGCCAGCCAGCTCTGATAAATACTTTTTAAATGAGCAAAAGTAGTAATCTTTGAGGATGAGAATCTAGCCAAGTGCCTCGTAGACATTTTTTATAATTAAGCAATATGTCAAAGCATGAGTTAACATTGATGTATTTAAGTACCAATGTTTAGAAAAGTAAACATATTAAAATTATTTCTGAAATATGGGATGCATATTTTTGCCTTCTTATATATAAGCCAATGAACACAATTTGACATTTGATTGATGTCTCAGGATTATTATATAAGCATCAATTATTGTTTGCTTCTGCCTCTGAGGACATAGTTTGGTCTGACAATTGCAGGAAGGAGAGGAATCACAGAAGCAAATGTGGCCCCTCACCATTCCCTGAGCCATCTATGCCAAATGGCCTAGACCATGCAAGACAGAAAATTTACAAAAACCAAACAAATTATTTTCCCTGGGAAAGGGAAGTGGATCCAAATGTGAGTAGCTTTTCTTTTTTCTCTAAGGCAGTAATGCAGACATTTTATTTCTAATGTGGGATGGCTCTCTCACTCTGGCTTTAAACTTACATACACTTAACAAAATAAGTTGCCAATTCTATCTTTGGGGCTTCACACCTCACATGCAGAATTATTCTGAGAAAGTGTGATGAAAAGAGCATGGCCTTTAGAGTCAGAGCTGGACTTGAACCCCAGCTTTGCCCCATCTAGCCATGCAAGACAGATGTGGGATTGAATTATGCAATGTGTATATCACTCTTAACACAGTATCCAACATGGAAACAAATGCCTGACTCATCTCCCTTTAGTGTGCCATCCACCTCTAATGACCTACCTGCCCCATGAGTCTCACTCTTCGTTGTCTGAGGAAAGTAATCAGCTCCCTTCCCTTCACCTTCTGCCATCTGTCAAGAATAGTCCTATAGGAAAAGAAAATGATTAAATTACCCAAAGATACTAGATTCCGAAAATCACTTACTACTTGTTTTCTTTATCCAGAGACATTTGCATTTGCAAAGGAGACAATGAATTCATCCAGAGGGTTGCCTCTTAAATGACAGAAACTGGAAATACAGTATTTCCGCCTCACCCAGTTTCATTTTCCATGGTTTGTTATCCACGGCCATCCATGGTCTAGAGATATTAAATGGAAAATTACAGAAATAAGTAATTTATAAATTGTAAATTGTGCACCATTCTGAAGAGCATGATAAAATCCCACACTATCCTGTTCTGTCTCCACTCCACCCCACATGAATTTTCTCTTTGTCCAGCACATCCACACTGTATAACCTCCCTGTCCACTGGTCACTTGTAGCCATGTTAGTTAACAGATTGAAAAACATAAGTATATATAGAAGATTTGGTACTATCCCTGGTTTCAGGAATCCACTGGGGGTCTTGGAACATATTCCCAGCAGATAAGAGGGAACTACTGTACAGATTTTTTAGGGTATTGGTTTGACCACTGCTCTTCAAATTAAACTGGCTACGTAATCCTGTCTCTGCATTCATGCAGGGCAAATGCTTGCACCAAATTTTTATGTGTATAATTAAAATGTGTGCGGTGATATCTCTGATATATCAAATTTATATTAAAACTTTCTTCTTCAAACATAATACTGTAAAACATAGCTAACACATTTCCTACGTGGAAAATCATGTAACTCTTGTGTTTTTATATAGCTGTACGTCTCATTCTGACTTACTGAAGGATTTTAGCTTTTCATAGAGAGGGTTTTAACGAAGTCACTTTAAGCCCTTTTTAGATTTGAAATGATGAAAGCATTGGCAGGACTTCTAAGAGATAGCACGGGGGTTCCGTGTGAACATCTTTAACAGTAGAAACGTGCCCCCATCCAAACTGAGCACTTTGCTATTTATCAGGATTTAGGGAAGAGACTGAAGTGCAAGCATGATGCAATTTTAAAAGATCCCTTTAAAAGCAGACATATCCACGCCCAGCAGAAATGGGGATCGGTTTATCAAAAAGTCTGCAGGTGGCACATTTTCTATTTCTATAGCCATTAGAGGACAAATCCCAGAGTGAAGTTTGACTTGAAGATCTTAAATTTCCTTTGTAACAAAAGAAAATCTCTCAGATATACTGGTAATAGCTAAGGTGATTTATTGATGTGGTGATTTTAGTAAAAACTAATGATCTTTTAACTGCAATCACAAGACATAAATTTATATTCCAGGGTAAAAAAGAAAGGTGGCTTTATTTTCTCTGCTGTCTGTTATTACTACTTATAAGTTTATGTGTTCAGTCACTGAAACTAAATAGATTGTCTCTATACCATACACAAGCCCAACTTTCATCAATATTTAACTAAAGGAGGAAGCAAGAAATTCACCATTTATTTAGGAAAGTAATGTTGTTGGCTCCTTCTGAAATGGCTCAAACAATCCCTGCCTTCTGTCATTCAAGTGCTTGTGTAATCCCTCCTCTCTTGAATATGGACTGCACATAGTGACTGGCTTCTACCAAATACATTATGAAAAAAGTGACGAGATGTCACTTACAAGATTAGGCTATAAAAGAGCCTGACACCTCTCTTTCTCTTTCTCTTTTCTCCTCTTCTCTCCTGTCTTGCTTTCTGTCATGAAGCCAGCCACCATTTTGTGAGCTCTCCTATGAAGAAACCCATGTGGCAAGAAACTAAGAGCAGCTTCTGGATAATAAGAAACGAGGAAGTGAGTCACCCAGTCCATTTGTTTATGAGGAACTGAATCCTGCCAGCAACTACAGCCCCAGCCAATACCTCGATTGCAGCCTTCAAAGAATCCCAGAGAAAGAAGGGACCCAACTAGGCCATGTTGAATTTCTGACCCACAGAAACTGTGAGGTAACAAATATTGTTTTAAGCCACTCAATTCAATGGTAATTTATTATGCTACAATAGATAACTAAATCAAGAACACTTAAATATATATCTTACATAGTAGGAAAGTAGTGAAAGTGTGGTATATGTATATACAATATAAACTAGAATAAGGTTGAAGACTATTTGATTACATAAAAATATCTGTGTAGTTAAATATATGACCTTAAAAAAGACCAAATCATTTCTTTAGAAGACCAATAGGTAGAGAAACTAGAGCATCAAGCCCACACTCAGAAATCATAGAAAAACACTTTTCTATAGATATAGAAAAATCATGATTTTAGTTTTAAGGAATTCCGGTTTTTATCAGCCAGTATTCAGGGAGGTAAACAGAAAACAATGTGTATAGCTTATGGAGAGAAAAATTTAACTCTCCATAGTTAAATTTTTGAAATTGAACTATGCAAGAAACTAGAAAAGTGTTGGAAGTTCTAAGGATGCATAAGAGAGAGGGGGATATTGCCTAGAGATCCAGCAGCTTCCAGTGCCATTGCAAGAGCCCAAAGGACGATACTTGCTGCTGGTGCCACCAAAGGACTAAACAGGAAGTACAACCCTACTGCAACCACGGTTAGTTCTTCTACCTCGGCCGCAGCAGAGGCAGACTGACTTCTACCACCATTCTGTCTTCTAACGCTTCTTGGAGATCTTCCATGGGAAGACTCCCTTGAGCTCAGCTAAAAAGAGGGTCTGATAAAAGTATTACCAGTAGAATGGTGGATGTAGATTAAGTGCCAATAAACAATGTCTGCCACTCATATTAAAACAGTTTAAATATTTTCCTTTGAGCAATGGCATATATTTTTCAAGACTAAAATTATCACAAGATTCATGGTATAAAATTTCTCAGGCACCTTATATTAGTCTTGTAAATTAAGTCCTAAATTATCACTGTATTCACATGATAACAAGACAACAAAAGGAATACATTGATTTCACCAAAGTTGAAGTTAAAGCATTCGAGATTTCCAAAGGCCACTCAAACCTGTCATATTAGTGGGGTTTTGGCTGAACAATACAGTTAATCTAGTCAAAACAGTTTATTCAGAAATGCCTTGTATATAATTTTTATAAGCCTGGTATGCCAATGTTTACATCCCCATTTCATTGAGAAAAAGTAGGAAAAATGAGTTAGAAATGAATGCTTTAAGATACAAATTTTTTTGCCCTTGTTCATTCATAAAATTTTTTTGAGATTCCAAATATAGTCAACCCTTGAACAATTCAGGAGTTAGGGGTTCCCAAAACTTACTTACTAGGAGCCTACTGTTGATTAGAAGCTTGACCAATTTAATAAGCAGTCTATTCACACATATTTTATATGTTTTATGTATTATATACTGTATCTTACAATAAAGTAAGATAGAGAAAAGAAAACGTTATTAAGAAAATAATAAGGAAGAGAAAATATATTTACTATTCATTAAGTGAAAGTGAAACATCATAAAGGTCTTCATCCTTGTCATTTCCATTGAGCGGTGTGAGAAAGAGGAGGAATTGGTCTTACTGTCTCAAGGGTGGCAGAGATGGAAAAGTGGAGGAGGTAGAAAGGGGAAGCAGGAGAGGCAGGCACACTCCCTGTAGCTTTATGGAAATACATCATAATTTCTGCCTGACGTTTTGCTTTTTCATTTCCCTAAAAATGTTTCTGTAGGTACTAATGCTTTATCTACTATTTGCTTTAGTTTCTGTGCCCATGTCATAGAAGGATGCATGTTCTAAAAGAAGTCAAAAGCAGTCTTCATTAATGTTGGTGTTAAACTCATGGAGTTCTGAGTGGCCGGGGCATTGTCTAATATCAAATCAGCTTTAAAAGGCAGTTTCTTACAGCAAGGTGCTTCCTGACTTCAGGAACAGAGCATCAATGACACCAATCCAGAAAAACAGTTCTTGTTGTCCAGGCCTTCTTGTTGTACAACTGAAAGACTGGAAGCTGGTGTTTATCTCTTTCCCTTAAGGCTGAGTTGCTAGCAGCTTTATATATAAGGGCAGTGAGCTAATCCCTTCCTGCCTTAAATCCTGGTGCTTATGCCTTTCTTTTCTAATAAATGCCTTTTGTCTTGCTTTTATCAAAAACTGGGCACTTCCATCTGCCTTAAAAACTTGTTCAGGCAGATATTCCTTCTCCTCAATGATTTCCTTAATGGCGTCTAGGAACTTTGCTGCCTCTTGGTCAGCAGAAGCTGCTTTTCCTGTTATCGTGACAATTTTCTTAAGCCAAATCTCTTTATACAAATACTAAACCAGCCAGGCGTAGTGGCTCATGTCTGTAATACCAGCACTTTGGGAGGCCGAGGTGGGCAGTTCATGATGTCAGGAGATTGAGACCATCCTGGCCAGCATGGTGAAACCCCATCTCTACTAAAAATACAAAAATTAGCTGGGCATAGTGGCACATACCTATAGGCCCAGCTACTCTGGAGGCTGAGGCAGAAGAATCACTTGAGCCCAGGAGGCAGAAGTTGCAGTGAGCCGAGATGGCATCACTGTATTCCTGCCAGGCAACAGAGCGAGACTCCATCCAAAAAAAAATTAAACCATCCTTTGCTGTCATTAAATCGTCCAGCTTTAGGTTCTTCACTTTGCTTTGGCTTTTAGTTGTCATATAATGAATTCACATTTTCTCAAATCATATTAGAGTCTATTCCTAGAGTCTATACCTTTCTTATAGCAATACAGCACCCACATGCATTTTTAATATGAGATTAAAGATACAAAATCATCAATGTGCAAAATCACAAGTATCCCTATAAACTAATAACAGACTTAAAGAGAGCCAAATCAAGAACAAACTGCCATTCACGACTGCTACAAAGAGAATAAAATACCAAGGAATCCAACTAACAAAGAATGTAAAGGACCTCTTCAAGGAGAACTACAAACCACTGCTCAACAAAATAAGAGAGGACACAAACAGATCAAGAAATATTCCATGCTCATGGTTAGGAAGAATCAATTTCGTGAAAATGGCCATACTGCCCAAAGTAATTTATAGATTCAACACTATCCCCATCAAGCTACCAATGACCTTCTTCACAGAACTGGAAAAAAAACGCCTTAAACTTCATACAGAAACAAAAGAGAGCCCACATAGCCAAGACAAAAAAAAACAAAGCAAAAAAAAAAAAGCTGGAGGCATCACACTACCTGACTTTAAACTATACTACAAGGCTACAGTAATCAAAACAGCACAGTACTGGTACCAAAACAGAGATATAGACCAATGGAACAGAACAGAGGCCTCGGAGGCAATGCCACAGATCTACAACCATCTGGTCTTTGACAAACCTCACAAAAACAAGCAATGGAGAAAGGATTCCCTGTTTAATAAATGGTAGTGGAAAAACTGGCTAGCCATGTGCAGAAAGCAGAAACTGGACTCCTTCCTGACACCTTACACTAAAATTAACTCCAGATGGATTAAAGTCTTAAACATAAGACCTAACACCATGAAAACCCTAGAAGAAAACCTAGGCAAAAGCATTCAGGACATAGGCATAGGCAAGGACTTCATGACTAAAACACCAAAAGCATTGGCAACAAAAGCCAAAATAGACAAATGGGACCTAATTAAAATCTGGATCTTCTGCACAGCCAAAGAAACAATCATTAGAGTAAACCAGCAACCAACAGAACGGGAAAAAAATTTTGCAATCTACGCATCTGACAAAGGGCTAATATCCAGAATCTACAAAGAACTAAAACAGATTTACAAGAAAAAAAAAACAAGCCCATTCAAAAGTGGGCAAAAGATATGAACAGACACTATACAAAAGAAGACATATATGAGGCCAAGAAACATATGAAAAAATGCTCATCACTTGTCATTAGAGAAATGCAAATCGAAACTACATTGAGATACCATCTCATGCCAGTTAGAATGGTGATCATTAAAAAAATCTGGAGACAACAGATGATGGAGAGTATGTGGAGAATAGGAACAATTTTACACTGTTGGTGGGAGTGTAAATTAGTTCAACCATTGTGGAAGACAGTGTGGCAATTCCTCAAGGACCTAGAAATAGAAATTCCATTTGACCCAGCAATTCCATTACTGGGTATATATCCAAAGGATTATAAATCATTCTATTATAAGGACACATACACATGAATGTTCATTGCAGCACTGTTTACAATAGCAAAGACTTGGAACCAACCCAAATGCCCATCGATGATAGACTGGACAGGGAAAATGTGGCACATATATACCATGGAATACTATGCAGCCATAAAAATGATGAGTTTGTGTCCTTTGTAGAGACATGGATGAACCTGGAAACCATCAATCTCAGCAAACTGACACAAGAACAGAAAATCAAACACTGCATGTTCTCACTCATAGGCAGGTGTTGAATAATGAGAACACATGGACACAGGGCGGGGAGCCTCACACACTGAGGTCTGTATGGGGGAACTATGAGAGAGACATGGGGGGGTGGGGATTTGGGAAGGGATAACATGGGGAGAAATACCAGATATAGGTGATGGGGAGGAGGCAGCAAATCACATTGCCATGTATGTAGCTATGCAACAATCTTGCATGTTCTTCACATGTACCTCAAAACCTAAAATGCAATAAAATATATATAAAAAAATTCAACCTTTTCTTGTAATGTGAAACAATTCAACTTTTTCTTGTAAAACACTTTTTTCTGCTTCTTGGGAGCACTTCTAACATCATTAGTGGCACTTTGTATGGGAACCACGGTGTTTGTTATTCAAGGTTTACGATATTGTACAAAACAAAGATGAAAAATATGGAAAAACTTTTTACTGGAGATGTTGCTCACAAGCAGATGATTCACACAGCATTTTAAGCGCATACTTGAGCTAACTTGAGGTCACAACAATAGAAACAGGAGGTGGCTACAAAATTATTACAATAG